AGAAGATGCCTTAGCTGTAGGTCCAGCTATTTTCGAGAAAAGCGTCTTCTGCTTTGCCTGCATGAGAGCACTGCCAGTTAATTACAAAGCAATCAAGTATACGTGTTCTGAGTGTAATGTTGCTCCCCTGTGTAGCTTGGTTTGCCAGGTATTTCCGATAAATTAAAAACGCTCCCAAAACTTTTCCAAGATCATGCGAATGAAATACTATGGACACGCTAACCATTTACGATTTAATTCAATTTTACATGTACTTTCATAATTGAGATTAAAAATAATTATGTAATATTATTTCAAATATATTTGTCGTGTAGAGAAGTGTTAGTGTACGTGCTCTTTTTTTTAACGTTAATAGTCTTCTGGGAAAAAAAGAATTTAACGAAGTGTCTTAAATTATTCGAATAACATGTGATTTCGTTATTATTTGAAAGTTAATGTTAACTAAAATGTTAACTAGTATTTATTCGACTGTTCGATTTTGTAAAAATATCGTTTAACAGAGCTAATTTATTACAGACAGTTTTATCGAAGTTTCCAATTAAATTTGTGAAGAATGTATGTTATATATTCTAGAATACAAATGGACTTCATTCAAGTCATGAATGCAATATTTTTCAAGAGAAAAAATATTTGTGTCTCGAAAATCTTGAAAAACTTGTACAAATTTTACTTCATTTTCGACTATGGATATTTAAGAATAATAATTCGGAAGCTTGGAATCAAATTTTAAATATGGAGGCACACATAAGCGAGAGAAGAAATACAACTGTTTGGGAAGATTGTGAAGAAAATATAATAAATGTAAGATATTATTACAATTATACAATCTATTTTTCTTTTTTTATAATGAACAATCATTGAAAATCATTGAAATTCTTTTATTATTTAACACGTATCTAGCTATAACTAATCATTATTCAAACATAAATTACAGTTATCAATTAAAAGCTATATAATAAATATATGATTAATGATTATGTCCGATCAATGTCTTTATACAATTTTGTAAAAGAAAGAAAGAAAATAAAGAATGAAGAAGAACGAGATCTTCTCAAGTACATATAAAAATTACAAGATAATATTTTATAAAATGATATTTGCTGATAATAATTAAGTGAAACATTGACTAGTCTTATCTATATCTCTATTTATAAATTATTCATATTATCTGTATTGTAAAATTTAAATTGAATCATAAGTTGTTGAATAATTTATTTTTTGTATTTATATATTCAATTTTGGAATTATATAGTGACTTATATTTCGAGGATTCATTAAATCTCATAAATTTATAGGAAATATGGGGCTATGAGCGTGTTATATATCAAGATATAATCTAGTTGCAAATTATTATTATACCGTTGAATCAATTTGAATATTCATTACATTTATTTAAATACATTTATTTTATACGGAATTAAGTTTATTTTCAAGGTTAATATTATTATTCGAATTTGAACATTATAGAAGAAATAACTCTTGTACAGAGTTTTTTTTTTTTAAATAGGATGACACGTGTAGTGCATTATATATTAGTATTTAAAATTATATTAAACTTTTTAAAGATTTACATGATGAATGATAAAAGTACAATTTATTTCAGTTAAGATATTTAATTTATCACTTAATTTATCTTATTTTTTTTTTGTTTTTGTTTATTTTGTTTATTTTATTTAATCTAGTTTATTATATTTAGTTTTTATTTATTTCGATTTTATTTTATTTTATTTTTTATTTATTTTATTTAGTTTATTATATAAAACTTAATTTATCACTATAAAGTTGGATATTTAAATAGATATCAATTTAATTGTTTAATAATTGCAAGTTAAATTAAGTATAGAATGAAAAACAAAGAAATTCATTTTCTTGTTAACAATCTAAAGGTTATGAAACAATGTAAAAATAAAATTATTTAATCCATTATATAATATTTTAATTAAATTAAATACTAAACAGCTCATATTACTATTTAATTTTATAATGATTAAAATTACAATATTTAAATCCAAATAATAATTAGTAATGTTTTGATTACCAATGAGAGTTATATTTTATTTTAACGAGATGTTTTAGGTGCAAAAAAAAATTCATATGGGGTAAAGCAGATTATAAAAAGCGATTACAGTTAACGTGGCAAATGCTCTAGACTTAAAACAGAAATAGAGATACCCGAAACAACATTACGGCAAAATAAAGTATCGGAGAATTGAATTGACAGGTCTTCCGGGTTCTCAGCCTGTTGAATGCCGATGATGATGGCGAGTCGCTGCAGTGGCTCTGCGGCGTCGTCGACGTTAATACTTTTGAGCTGCGGAGTCCAGGGGTCGTGGGCACGGCGGATACGAGTCCTCATCTCCTGCGTGGCTTCTTCCCGGAGGCCTCGCTAATGAGTCACGCGTGTCGAGCAACCGCCCATGTGAGCGTCGACGAGAGCTTTCGAATGTCCGTATACGCAGCCGTGTCCATAAAAGCCGGCGAGGCCATCTCCTTCAATTACACGTCGTGTCTCCTGGTGAGCCTCATGCCATACATTGCCTATGTCGAGTGTATCCGCACCATCTGGGCTTCACTTTCTTTTCTCTCTATTTTTATTACTTTTTCTCTTATTCGAGAACACGCTCACTTTTCATTTAATGTAAAGTGATATTTAGTACTTGCAATAAGATTATTCATAATACAATATGGATATTATATTATAAGTCCTCTCTTTTATTCAATAATTCTTTTTCAATATAAAGCTTACTACTATGTTTGTTATCAAATAATGTTCAGTGATTTTGTACTAAAAGCTCTTCATCTGTCTCCCATACCAGCTGTTTTTTTTTTCTCATTCTTTCTTTTTTTAGGATAAGGTTTTTATTAAGAATTTCTTTAAAATTGTATGTATTTAACAGGGATCGATTGCAAGACAGCAGCACTTGCAGGAAGGAAAATATTTTCGCTGTGATTGTGCCGTTTGCAAAGATCCACTCGAAGGTGGCTCATATATTAGTTGCATCTTGTGTCCACGATGTAAAGAAGATTATGTAGCGATTCAGAATCCTAAGGAAAATGATCCATACGGATATAAAACCAAATGGCAGTGTCAAAAATGCAAACGGATATTTTTTGGTTGTCTTATAAAAAGAACACTAGATATCAGTAAAGATTTAATTAGTCAACTGGATATTAATAATTATAAGGTTCGTGTTTTTAATTTTTTCTTTAATTCATATTTTTCATTAAATAATAAAGGAATGTTTCGATGCTGTGCAGGAAATAGAAAAGTTGCTCGAAAAATTATCCAGATCTTTTCACAAAAATCATTTTATATTATTGTCTTTAAAGCAAGAACTATTGTCTGTTTATCGAAAAGAATTGACGAATATCAATCCGCAAAAGAAAATATTAAAAAGAATGCTACAACTGTACGATGAATTAATCGATGTTTTAGAAATTGTTGAACCAGGCATATCAAGATTAAAAGGTAATCTTAAATATTTTTAAAAATAAAATTTTCATTTCTATAGCAGTTCAATAAAATGATTGCACGAAAAAAGTTGCTTTTATAGGTATTTAAGAAAAAGAATAAAAATACAATTTATTTATAATTTTTTATAAATATGATTCTTTTAGATACAAGTAAATATGTTAAAAGTTGTACTTTACATTACTAAGCTACCATATATACAATACAAATTTAAAAAATAAAATACTCAGAAAATAATCAGATGGTTCTATAGTACAAATGAATAAAAATAAAGAGAGGGAGGGAGAGAGAGAGAGAGAGAGAGAGAGTAGTTTATGGTATATTAATTTTTGGAAAGTGGTTTGTTGAGAAAATCAATATATTGAATACATAGTGTCAAGCACAAAGCAGGTTCGATGACCCGTAGGAATTCCTTATTGTGATTCTTTTAATCGATACACATGCATACATATATATATATATATATATATATATATATATATATATATATTTATATCGAGTTTGTTTGTGTTATCGCTGACAATAGTCGTAGTACTCAGGATAGAGATTTAATTTTGTTCGGTTTGTTTCTGGAAGCGTCGGGACGTGGCATGAGACTTCATAGATATAAATAAATTGACAAAGGGAGTGAAAAAAGATAGGGATAATAAATCACAAAAGTTCTCATGATAAAAGATAATTTTAACTACCAAAATAAATAATGAATTGCACCGACATAAATCATTTTAAATGGGCTTGCGTCATCAACTGGGTCATGCTCAAGGTCGTCGTGATGCCATTGCACTCTTTCACTTCCCGTCTGTTATCACCTTCGTTTACTTCCTTTATCTCTCCATTCCCTCGTGTTTGATTCTCCTATATCTTGTTTCAATTATCAAGCTTTTACTCTTCATGCTTTATCCTTTTATTATCCACGAACATGCTTATCGACCTACAGGCAAGTTAGACTGATTTTTTACCCCACACGAAGTTTTTTTTCCCGATTATTCTCGCGTCGACCTTTATTTTATCAGCCAACATCACGACAATAAGATCACGTGCGTCTTTATTATTTATATAATTAGTTTTCATAGCTTTGATAATGATGCACTTGAATTATAAGAATATTTATATTTCCATTATGGTTGTTTATATTGCTTATTCGATAAATTTTTATTTTTTAATTATTAAATAAAAATAACAGTAACATTAAAAGTTATCCTTTAAAATATTTGAAAAAAGTTTCGACTTGGTCAGATTAATGTTTGTACAGTATTACATATTTTCATGTATTCATTTTTTATTTAAATTGACATTTAAAATCTGCTAATACAATCACTTTCGTATATATATATATATATATATATATTATTTTTGCTTAATAGGAAATATATAGTCAACAATATTAACACTGTATAAATTGTTTATAAAAATTGATGTTACATAATGTTTTTAGTTCATATACATATATTAGTACTAGATAATATATTCGTTGTAATATTTGCTTTATTAATTCATTTGCTAATCTAATTTATGATTACACAGTTAAATAAGTTTTAATGAATGTTTTAGGTATAGTCTTGTATGAAATGCATTTATCAAATGCTATTTTAGCGAATCGTGCTTATAATGCGCGTGAAATCTCCAGTGAGGAATTGTGCTCCCGCTTAGAGATAGCCCAAGGACATCTAAAACGATCCTTAACAATGTTACTTTTAGAACCAGTAAATACACCCGAAGGAGCTTTGGCTAAGCGTGCTCTACGCAATAAAAAATTACTCGCACAAAATATTGAAAATGTTAAAAGCATATTACAGTGAGAAAATTCGGCAACGCAGGGGTTAAATTTTCAAAGGAAAAAATAAAAATAAAATGAAACGAATTGTTAATTTTGTTCATATATGAATGAAAATATTAAAAACTCATAAATGGACATAGTAATTAGAATATGCTTTTGCAACTCTTATTATAATGGTCAAATACGAGATTCAAAATCATGAAATCGTTAATAAAATCATTTATATACATATCAAAAAGTAGTTCTTTACTGTAATTTTTGAATTTAGAAGAATATTTCTATTAATATAACTTGTGGATGTAAGTAAATGCTTGAAAAGTATATTTATAGCAAGCACGACAGTCATACTTTCCTTCTAAGTTTATAAATTATAATATATTAAATATACTGATACTCATGGACATAATTAAATATGTTATAATTACTATCTTTCATTTAGCTACTTTATAATACTTTAAACTGTTTATTAGCTCTTTAATAAATACTTATTATATTAACTAGAGATTTGAAAATGTAAAGTTCATTTTTTATCTTTTTTTTTTTGTGGAAAATTACGTTATTTTAAAAATAATGCAAATGAAGTATAATTCAAATAAAAGAAACGATGAAAGCAAAGATAAAGTTAGGTTCGCATAAAATATGAATAAACATCTTTGGAAACGAAGTTGATGGTTATAAGTAGTTTAGAGTTTCAATCATTTTTAGCATAACTGCATAGTTTCGAAATTTGCAGACAATCAAATAATGGAATAAAGTATTTTAATACTAGAATAAGAAGTAAATGGTAAAAATCGTGACATATAAATCTCGAAGGTTGATCTCTGCAAGAACACGTTGTTGCAAAAAACTTCCTATGCGTAAGCAGAGATTTACATATACGATGTAGAATATATTGCTAAAATAAGGGAAAAATCATCGAGTTTTTATAGATTGAAATTTGTGCCCAATGAGGTATCTATCGTTCCAATCGTAATTAATCGCCGCGTCTGAAATTTTAATGTATATTTTGAAATACTTTGCTGGAACTTTTGCTGAAACAATTATATTTTCTACTTCTTTTCCAATTCTCCGAAAGAAACTATTTCTAAAAAAGTATTATACTAACACTTTATTCAGAGCTTATTTTTACAGCAAAATTCACAATCGAATATCGAATGCTTGCATACGCCCATTCATACATACGCACATTCATGCACACACACGCGCGCGCGCGCGCACACACACACACACACACACACACACACACAATATATTTTTCACTTTTCGTATGATAATAAAATGACAATTTCATCTATAATCTTATATTTTATATAAAACGCACTATTATATTAATAGCATTAAAAAATATAATTATAATAGATATACAGATTCAATCAAATCGCTTTAAAAATAAATATTTTTTTTATTAAAATACATAATAACGATCGAACGCTGATAGAATTAATAAAACACTTGTTAAATTGAAAACGAAGATGATGAGAATTAGTTTTCTACTTTACCTAATTTAATACCGAATAGGCAAATGAAAATACGTATAAATCAATACATGAATGGTATGCTACACGACTCCATACGTTTAATACGTATAGCATCGATACTACTTCAAACATAAGTACAATTAAAAGGATTAATTATCCTTAAGATGTTAGTTAATTTCATTCGTTCGCATTTACATTGCGATTATACTAATCTAAGTCATTAAATTATAATTACGAATGTTAATTTATAAAACGATAAGCTGTAAAAGCTTTCTATCAACTTATAAACAATAGACAAACAATACTATGGATTAGCGGATGATGCCCTCTACCACAATTGCCGGCGTAATAGATTCGTCATTCTGCGTTAATATCTCTTTTATATTTTGTATGCAAAAGCATTTATCTTAAATGCATAAATAAATAGTTATGCAGGCGTGGAGAGTACTTATCATTGGTAAGAAATTTATTTATTGAAATCAAGTTACGTATGCAATAGCGAATAATGTTTAAACTTAACCTTATTTTGGAAAGCAACGTTTGTAAACATTGTGAATGCATTTCTATTGTATTAATAGCATTGTCAAATATAACAAATTGAATCGTGTAATTGCAAATTTCTTCAGACGGTAATTATGATTGACAAAGTCTCTAAGAAGCTTTATAACTTTTGTTTTTAATATAGTACAATTTTTCAGTTAATAAGCTCTTTCTGATTGTATCAAAATGATTGACCAAAATATAATTGGCACATGCTTCTTGGTATGTATAGCAATCGTATTCAATTTTTCATTGCATCGCATCGAAGAAGGTCATGTAGGAGTATATTTTCGGGTGAGTCAAAGTAACGATGTCATTACCAGCTTTCTCTTGAAAACATGTAATTATATTTCATTATTTATAGGGTGGAGCATTATTACCTGAAGTGAGCATTCCAGGTTTTCATATGATGATACCAATTTTAACAATCTTTCGTCCTGTTCAAGTAACTTTACAAACCGATGAAGTTAAAAATGTTCCCTGTGGAACTAGCGGAGGTGTTATGATCGATTTTGATCGAATTGAAGTTGTAAATATGTTAGATGCTAATAGTGGTAGGTATAGTAATATTTCTTACGATCGTTTTGATTAAATTTTACATTAATATTAAACATTTTTAGTGTATAATATCGTGAGAAACTATACCGTAGATTATGACCGATCTTTAATATTTAACAAAATCCATCATGAGCTGAATCAATTTTGTTCAGTACATACACTACACGAGGTTTATATCGATTTATTCGATCAAATCGATGAAAATCTTAAAACTGCATTACAAAGGGATTTAACTGAAATGGCTCCTGGCTTGAATGTTTTAGCCGTAAGAGTAACTAAACCAAAAATTCCTGAAACTATTAGAAAAAATTATGAACTTATGTAAGTAATAAAATTATTCATTATGATTTTAATGTTATCTTTCAATTTTTTGTACATTATAATATGTATGAATAATTTATTTTTTCAAAATTTCTGATATTTTATTTATTCAATAATTTTTATCTAAAAATTCAATATTAAATTTAATAGGGAGGCAGAGAAAACAAAACTTTTAATATCAACGCAGCATCAAAAAGTTGTTGAAAAGGATGCGGAGACAGATAGAAAGAAGGCAATTATTGAAGCCGATAAAGTTGCTCAAGTAGCAAAAATTATGCTTAATCAGAAAATCATGGAAAAAGAGTCGCTTCAACTTATGGCATCTATCGAAGATCAAATGCACTTAGCAAGAGAGAAAAGTCGCTCGGACGCTGACTATTACCAAACGGCCAAACAAGCAGAAGCTAACAAATTACTGTTATCGGATCAGTATTTAGAACTTGAAAAGTATAAAGCATTATCTAAAAATACTAAAGTTTACTTTGGACAAGATTTACCAAAAATGTTTTCATTTGGAGGCCCTGTCAATGATTTGGCAAACTATGCTAATGAAATTACATTAAAAAAGCAAGAAAATGAATGAATCGAATAATCGTTTATTAAAAATAATATTACATTATTTTTAGATTTCATAAGATTATTAATTTAAATGCAATTGTTAAAAAACATTTTGTAATTTCAAGTCCGTTCTATTTCATTAACTTTAAACAATTAGAAACTAAAAACTTTAAACATTCATATTAAGTACAATAAGTTTTGTTGTATAATTTTGAATTTTTTTTCTTTGTTTTGTTTGTTTTTTTTTAATGTCCAGTTATTAAATATAAGTATGTATTATATTTATCTATTAAAATAATTATTATTTGATAAAATAATGATTATTTTGTAAATTAAGTAATAGACATGAACATGTTCACAACAATTTTTCCAACATGTTTCTTTACACTTGTTATTTCAACGTTTCTTTTATTTTTATAAATTATTATATCGTGGATTATTAAAAAATATAACCAACAATTCTCGTATATTATATATTGTGAAACATTGAACCGTTTGATTGTTTTCCTATTCCTTTATATTAATTGTAATTAATGTCTTGAATTAAAGGTATGGATTATCAGAAGATAAGTTTTCATTAGAATGGCCACGGATTTGTAATACAAAAGAAAATCCAATCCATTATGGGAAAATTTTTTCTAATATAAATGTATTACATTGTGATTATTATTATAACTTATAATACAAGTGTAAAATATAATCAATTTGTAAAAAATAGGTAAATAAAATTTCATGGAAAAATCATTAAAAAAATCTTTTAAATACTTTGTAATAATGATAATTATGATATTGATGAGGCAATGATAAAAAAAATTATTTATTAATGATTATTAATTACTTTGCGAGAATAGGAGTAAATCAGTTTTAAGACTACCAACTTGACAAATTTTTTTGTTCATGCATCGTCAGTCGTCATATTAGTCATTGCATTTCGCTGCAGAAGTGAAAGTGTCGAATAAAATTTAATTATTATTCGTTATTTTCATTTTGCTCGGCACTGAATAGTGCCGAGCGGACTGTCAAAATTATTATCTAAATTTTATCAACCTATACTTTCATTTCTTATAAAATTATTGCCTAAAACTTTGAATGATTCTGCAAAATGAGTTCCGTGAGTAAAGCAAACACTAATTGTTCGTCAGTAAATAATATGTAGAATATTATTAACCGTAACCTTAGATTTAGGTTATGTCTTATTTTTTTACATCCACTGTCTATTCTATATAAAATAAAATATCAATTAGTAATATTCAGTATTATTGTATAGAATGTAATTTTATCATTTTTAGGATTTGAAAAAATTTTTACAAACGTTATTAAATCAAGTCGAAGGATTACATAGTATTTTGATCACAGATAGAGATGGAGTGCCAGCTGTTTTTGTTGCTAATGAAAATGCTCCAGAATTAGCAATGAGAGCAAGTTTTCTTTCCACTTTCGGTATGGCAACTGATCAGGGAAGTAAACTTGGTCTTGGAAAAAATAATGTAATTATTTGTATGTACAGTAGTTATCAGGTAATAAATATACCAATTGTTATTTTCAGCTTTGAATAAGTACACGAACATAAATTGAGCAAATTTATAATTTTAATAAGATCATTATCAATTGAAAGTATCTATATAATTCATCTATATATAAAATAAAATTTCTGACAATTTCAAATTTACCTAAGCAAATATGAGCGTTTCATGTATTTATTGAAAGTTCAGATTATCGTAAATCTTCATTTTCATACTCTTAAAGCATCGGAACAATCTTTCTAGAGTAAAAGAGCTGTGTTTTAATATTGTAGGTTGTTCAAATAAACAAACTACCTTTGGTAATGAGCTTCATTGCTAGCCACGATTGCAATACAGGCCACATTCTTGATTTAGAAAAAAAGGTGGATCCTGTGTTAAATCAACTAATAAACGCTGTTGCTGATACATGATGGTTACCTGTTCAATATCGAAGATAACTAATTTAACATCTGTAAAAAAAACTATCTATCGACACTATTTTTGGAGTGTATAATTTATAATATGATTAAGTTAAGTCACATCTGCATTAGCGAACAAATAAAAGAAAATTTTTCTACTGTATCAATTATGTTTATTGTATCATACGTAATTAAATTAAAATAAATAATCTTGTTATTCTTATTGTTTTTATATAGACATAAAATATACTTACTTAACTTGATTATTAAACTTTTTAAAATAATTTTTTATAACCGATTTATTGATTTAAAAATTAAGATAATATAAATTAAAGAGTGTAAACTACCTTAGCTTTAGGTATAGTTTAAATTATTTTCAATTAAAGCTAAAAAATATTTTCAAAAGTACGTAAAATATATACATTAATTTTAAGCGAAGAAATTTGAGAATAAATTAATACATCTTATTGTTGTTTTTAAATAAGTATTAACAAATTACACGATTTTAACAATAGGTAGACAAATTTGTACTTGATTTTAAATTTATTGAACATATTGGATGATGCCGCTGTTTTTAATATTTAATTCACGATTTAAAATGTAATTATTATTAAAAATCATCAAAACATTGAGTTATATGAACTTTATTAAAAAAAAAAAAATTTTAATTCAAAAACTTTTTACCATATTGTATTACGAAAAATGATTAGTAATATTATATATAGATTGAATACATTTTTTTTATTTATTAATTTTTTATTTTAAATTAACAATGTATGCTATTCCGTAATTATAATATAATTAGATATCAGATCAATAGTTTAGTTAAATTCAAGATTTTTTTATTTTTGTGTCCCATTAATTACTAAATAAATATTACTTTCAATACATATCATCTTTAAACTTGATTGGCTTTTATACAGAAATAATAATTTTTATATTTTATGTTTTATTTCTTTGCAAGATTACAATTTTAATGTAACATTTTAATAATTTTACTTATAAATCCGAAAAAGACGATTGAATTTAATTATTTTATACATTTTAAAAATATTTTATGTGATTTAATTATGTATTTTAAATGTTTCCTTATCTAAACATACATCAAATTTGATATCGCATAGTTTTTTTTTTTTTTTTTTAAAGCAAATTAACCAAAATTGCAGTTGTAAAATGAATATTCGTTTAAAATGATATTTTTCTTTCAAATATATCGTATTCACGAGCTGAACCATAATTTGTATAAATACTTATAAATGTAATTCTTAAATCGATAAATAAAATAGTCTTACCTTAAATCTTTTCCTAACGCTGCTGTTATATCGATAAACAGTACTTTTTTCTTTACTTTACAACTAAATTATTTTATTAAAACTTGTCGTCAACACTACTTTTAGTTTATTTTCAAGAGTGTTATTATTCAACCAAATTTTTCACCAAATTTTATTACTATACATCTGACTCTATCAGTATTGTTCGCTTAATCAAGTGTATGGATATTTATTTTAACCAAATGTCTTGGTAATAAAGTAAATCGTATTTTTCATTTCAGATAACAGATAATGGACAATTAGTCATCCAATGATTGGCTTCGTTCCATTAATGATAATTTTCCTCATTTTGCTGCAACGTTATGCAGTTGAGTTTTTCAGTTACATTTACTTATTCTTATTTTGCTTCTATTCTGTTTTGTCTTTAATTAACACATAAATTACATGAAATAACAAACAATATGATAATAAATATTAAAAAAATGCTTTTAATCTAATTATTTTGTTGGTTACTGGATCTAAGTATTTTTTGTACATTATATTAATTCTTTTCTTTAAGTAAAATTCGTTGCGATCTTTTTATGTAAATAATCTTTATAAATTTTACAATCACTATTAAATCACGCAATTTTCGAAATTTTTGAAAATTCTAATTTCAGCAAAGCTTGAATGATTTATTTTTACAATTAATTGTCGCATTATTTAATCAGTATAATAAATGTAATATTAAATTACAGATGATAAAATTCACTTCACATTTCAACCTTAAAACAATGAAATTTTTCGTCACAAATAAGAGTCAATGTATTAATAATAAAAATGTTTCTTAATTAATATACAATTTATTAAAGCGTTTTCTCGTTTTATTTCTGTTTAAAATATTTTTATTATTATTTATAGTGATTAAGTAATTTATAAATTAACCCATGATACGTTAACTTGAAACAAGATCAAATTAAAATTCCATCTAATATTTACGATTAATTAAAATTATTTTAATTTAAATAAATATACAAAATTTCAATAATACATATTTTGCTAACATTGTATTAATGATTGTATTTGGCAATTGACATTATTATGATAAATTTTTAAGAAATAAATTAATTGTGAATTGGAAATAAAAATTTATATATAATAATAATTATGAATTATAAAAATTAATGTATATTATATATTATAAAGTACAAGATAAAGCTATTTGATTTTTTTTTCTCTTTTTTTTTTTAAATTAGAAAATCTAACTAGAAATTTGAATAGAAAAGACTATTAAAATTAGTGTTTTTAAGTTCAATTAACGTTTCAATTTTATTATGCAATTTAAAAAAATGTATTCTAATTTCTGAAATTTATACTCATTATAAAAGTTGTCTTTAATGTACCATAATAAATTATATAATATATATTCAATTATCATTATTATTATAAATATTAATTATTGTTTTTTTTTTTTTTTTTTTTTTTTTTTTTTTTTAATAACAATGCAAAAGAAGTATTCAATAGATTAAATAAATCTTCTACATTTTTTTCAATAATCAGATTTTTGTAAATTTATTAATTAGGTAAAATATATTATATATATATATATATATATATTAATGATATATATATATATATATATATATATATATATCATTAAATCAATATATTATTTGCAAAAAAAATTTCTTGTTACTAGCGACTACTCGAAATATATTCATATATATATTTATTAACAAGTACATTATTTGATGAATTCTTATTGAGAAATAATTTCACACTCTAATTTATGCTTGAATTACTTTAATATTAGGTACATGTAAACCCTCAAAAAAAAAATTTTAATATGAACAAAAAATTAATATAGTAGTACTTACTGTAAAGAGCATTAAAATGTCTCAAAGTATTATTAGAATAATGGTGGGAGGGAGGGAGGCATTACGAATAACGCAAGTCATTATCCAAGAACGTCAGATGTATCAGGAAAGTATAATTACAAGTGCAGTAGTTATGACTAGACTATAGCATAAGACTCATAGACAGCGCAATTGACATATACAGTTACTCATTGCCACAGCATGTATGCTTTAGGTATGTTTGCATTTATATTTGACGTGAGTATGTAATTCGTATAATATAAACAGTCAACTCAAGACTTTACTAGGGGAATATCACAAGTTGAAAGAGTATTTACTTGAATTTTATCTGAAAATTTTACTGTATGTACACACAATAAGTAATTATCATCATTATTATTTTATTGAAATACTGAAAAATCAATGGTTTAATTAAATGATAATAATAAAAGATATGAATTTCTAATATCTTACAGTTACATAAGCAGTTACATATAAGAATATAATATTTGACTGTATAATCTTATAATACTATTTGAGTTCTTGGATAAAATACAAAATTTGTTATAAATGTTAATAAAGAATTACAAAAGCCGAGTAATAATATGAATTGATGAGATAGATGAAGAATAAATATTGTAATTTCTAATATAAGAAGATTAAGTAGTAATAATACTTACTAAATTGAGACGAAATAAAAAATTCAATGAATCTGTCATATTTCTAAATTTCCATCGAAAATTAAAATCTTTTAGTTTTTTTTATTTATTTACTTTTTTTTTTTATTTTTACTTTTAAATAGTATTTTAAAATACTTTAATTCAATAAGGAAATATTTTCAACAAATAAGTTGTTTTAATAAAACGCTTCGTTTTTAAACAGCAGCTACTTACTTTTCAATCCAATTGATTCACTTTCCCTGGCACAATGAATAAAAACAAAAATTTTATTTCACGTATTTGAATGCTGGATTTTATAAATAAATATATTTGTTTTTTTTTTTTTTTTAATACTGTTCTGTCGTTGCTTGTCTCAATTTTACTATATTTGTAATAATTAATAATAATTTAATTCATCGATTAACCGATTGCATCGAAGGACCTACTGTTGTGCCAAAATGAAGATTGACTAGCTAAATAAATGACAAGATTTTCTGTCATTGACATACCGCTAATTAATTTTACGAATGATACTTATGGCATTTGATTTGATTTTCATTGCTCCGTACATTTTACTTTTTCGCGCGAACATTATTTATTTTGTATTCGTTACAGCATTTACGTGCTTGCATTAATTGCGCTCGAGGGTGGATTAATGATAAAAATACTTCAATTAATTCGTAAAATAATCATCTAAATCACTATTAATTATTATTAAAAATTTTTTTTCAACATTAGTTTGCAATCGATAGAGTCAATTTGAAGAATCGCTCCTACACCCCTAATTGCTTCTTCAACACAATCAATATTTTATATTCGAGATTTGTAAAATCTATGTGCTTATAATGTTCAGTGATCGTATCAGCCAAAAATAATTCAAATAATCACCCCCTTTCCAAATTGGTCGAAGTAAAATAAGATTAGAAAAATCTTTGATCAAATGAGAAGCAAATTGATATTTGAAATTTCACTTGAACGATACATACATACAACCCTTATATGTACGCCTGTCCCTGCGTATGAGGTGTAAATGCATAAAATTATAGGTATTTTTTACAAATGTAATCAATATGTTAAAATATTTAAACAATTCTTCTATAGAAACTAATTGCAATTATGATGAATTCGTATGAAAGTATATGTGCTGATATTTGTTTTTTTTTTTTTTTTTTTTTTTTTTTTTTTTTAATGCTATCAGTTTGGAAGACTCGATGGCCATTGGCGTGGACGCTACCCCTGAGTTATATGGTACCCTGATACGATTTTCGGCAATTTCAGCCAGTAACTATCTCTACTAGTTCCTTTAAACTCTGGTACTAAAATTTCCTTGTTTCTTTGATCTAAGTAAGGCTCACGCATTGGTTGCAAATCTGTTTCCATCACGGTATTTTTTTCTATAAAATCAGCCAATTGGGTAAATGGCAAAAAAGCAGCTGATATATATTGCCCAGCGTGATCTGTAGGATTTGAATTTGTCTAGCTGAGAATTGTAATTTCATTACGCGAATAAATATGCCGAAACGAAGAAATGGATAAAAAAAAAAAACAAAAAAAAAAAAAAAAATGGCTAATACAAAAAAATTAAAAGATAAAATTTATTGACAAACTTTTCCGTCTAGCATATAATAATAATATTGTAATTATAAGTGCATCGAATATACATAATGTGCATTTAAAATATTAATTGAAAAATATAAAATATGTAAATTAACTGCTTCGACCATTGTTTAAATTATATGGAATATCGTGTATGTTTCGCATGACTTTATTATATTTGCTCGACGACTGTTCGTTCGGTTGTACATGTACACTATGGTGGAAGTTTATCCTCCAATTGATTTTGTTGCGTTCGAACGAATCTTCTCGCTTAAAATCGTATAAATTCCAAGGATGTAGGAGAATTAGGTAAATATATATACTCCGTATAATAAATATACACTTTGTTTGTCACTATCGTGTGATTAAATATATTTTAATACTTCTTTTTTTTTTATGTTATTGTCTATAGGATTGTTTATTAATTGTTTTTTGTAATTTTCTTAGCATAGCGCGATCGATCGATAATTTTGGTCGAAAATAACATGAAATACTTCATTTTTATGATGTATTATTATGTATTATGTTAAAAATAATGCTTTTAAAACATCGATTTGCAGTTACTAGACAACAATTTTTTTATAATCAGTGAACACACATGCACACTAATATATATATATATATATTAATAATATATATACTAATATATATATATATATATATATACAGACACCAGCGCGCGCGCGCGTATCTATAAAATACTTTTACGTCACAAATTATTCTATTAACTTTAATTGGAATTTAATTGGTACAGAAATTTAATAGTAAATTACGGATTGTTTATGAAGTATAAAAATGGTTTCGCATAAAAAATTATTTTACATTTCGTAATTTTTGTCGTATATACAAATAACTACAAAATAAATAGATATTTACTACTTACCTTCGCTACTTATAATTTAATATAATTATTTTATTTTATATATTGAAAATGGTACATTGACAAGTTTAACAATTTATTTTAAGTTTGGACTAAGTTTGGACAATTCATAAATTTATATCAACAAAACAGTTCTAGAATATGCCTAAAGTATTCTAGAGTAATTTAACGGATTCTAATTTGATTTAAAATAAATAAATAAGAACAGTACATCGGAGCTCCTATAAACTTACAACTTATTACTCAAAAGGTATCAAAGCATTGAATTTCAAATTGTGTAAATCATTCGGTTAATTATAAATGATATTAATACAAGGCAATGATCGACTATTAACCGCCATTTTAAAATTCATTCTATTAATTGCAATGAATGCAAAGACATTTGGGCTAAGTAAAATTTATTAAAGTAAAATTTAAATGAAAACGTGGATTTACTCAGATAAGTTAATTAAATTATTTCTAGGGAATGAAATTCATCACAGAGAGCAGTATGTTTTTTTTTTTTTTTTTATTTTAAATATCCACCTTACTGCCCCTTTAATTCATAATTCCGCATTTTTAGTTTGGCTGAGTTTTTCCTAATTAGCGATGGGAAACTGTTTCCGAAATCTCAGCAAATAATTGCTAGTAACGTCTTATCTCTAATAATCTACGCCATATATGGGCAAATCTTAACCGTGTTTAATTTAATATTGTGTCCCTTAGGACATAATGGATTTTGTTTTACAGTGCAGTCGAATTAATTTATAATGTTTATATCTCGATTAAGCTTATAATTCCACGACTTTGCTTTAGACAGCAGTCCATTATATTTTTTTTCTTCAAAAATCTTCTACTTTCTGCGAATAGTATTAGTATTTTATGACAATTTACATTACCGGATTCTTTTCGTTCCTATGTCATACCAAAATGTTAATTTAAAAAGTAAAATACTTGCAATACTTGCAAATTACAATAGACAATTTGGATATTTGGCACCCATGTTCGTTTCAAAGCCCGAAAGTGCGTGGGATTTTTAATCGGCGTATTCCATGTTTTTGTTTATTTAGAATTGCTAATTGATTTTGATATTGTAATATATCATAAAGAGTGCAAGAATACGTATTTTTTTTCTCTTCAAATTAGTCCTCAATTTCTGTATATGGTATATTAGCTATTAACAATTAATATGAAGATATTTAGATATTTGAGGTTATTATGTATATTTAAACATTGTCGTTATTAAATTTATTATTCTTTAATTAAATTAGTAAGTTTATATTAATTTTTTTCAGTACCACAATACAAGTGACATTTCATAATTTAATTCTTTCTCTATTAACCAACTGTTCAATAATAATAATGGCAGTTGTATTTATATATTTTTTAAATAAAAAGGTAAAGTTAATTGTATCGACGATAAAAAATATCTGTAAATTACTTTATTAATATTATGTTTGTATTTTGAAATTATTTGGTTAAAGGAACACGACGATCAAAATTTGAAAGAGTCTGGACAAAATTATAGTATGATCAAAAATTTAAACTGTTGCAACATAGTCGTTAAAAATCATAATCCCTACTGTATATGTAACATTTATTACAGAAGATGAGGGTTTAGTTCCATTTTGTTGACAAAATAGATACAACATCCATTTGAATCTGACTGTATTGAGCAAAAACAAAAACATTGACTTGGCTGAAGAATAATTAATTTCATTTGCATAATGGAATTTTATGAAACTGAGATTCTTGTGGCAACGCTTGAAAGAATTATAGAAGATAAAAATGAAATATCTAATCAGATATATATTTAATCAAATGATAACATCATTGTAGTTAACTTTGTAAGTTCTTATTTGGGTAAATAATAATTTAATATATGATAAATGTTTAAATAAATTGTATTTATTTAAATAGTAAAATTGTATATATAGGTAATAAGCAAAACAGAGTTTTTTTTTTTAAAGATATGACAAAACAAATTTATAATGCTGTTAATTGAATGTCGAGGAGTATTTATTGGATTAATTGAACAGAAAGTGAAAATGGAAGAAATAAGAAAATACAGTTAATACTTGAAACTGAATTATCAATTAGAATTCTTGGGATCAACATTCCACTGTTTGATATATTATCAAAAGAATTATTTGGTTTATAAGGTAAATACAATTTTTTAAGTTCATTAGTGTGTTAAGAGAGAAAAATTAAGATGGAAATATAATATACTAATTATAGAACCCACAAGTCGGATCAAGCTGTTTATTATCTGTTATAAGAATTCAAGTCGACTACATTCTGCTGGTCCAGGAAATATATTATTTGATCATTTAACAAGTAAAACGATAGCATATTATGAAAGCAAAGAAAATAGGGACAAACGTTATAAGTGGTTTGTAAAATTAAAATTTTAAATATTTTATTTTATTTGTTATTTTAATATTTATTTTAATTTATATCTTTTATTTTATATAGATGTAGGATAAATGTTAGCAGCTAATTATTATTTGAAAAATCAGTGGTATCGTGCAGAAATTGTTGTTTGCTCGGCTATGGGACATATCGTGTCTTCTTCTTTGATTTTGGAAATCAAGAGGAAATGAGTCAGAATGACCTTGCAAATATATATTCAGCTTTTTTAAGTCGTAAAATTCAAGCTATTGAATGCCTTCTTGATTGATGCGAAACATTAGTGAGTACTTTAGTATTTCAATTAATATTTTTTAATTAATAAAAGTAGTTTTAGTTACTTCTTTAACCTGTAATCTATTGATTTATTTTTACGACTTCCCGAATTCATACAATTTCGATATTCTAATATTTGGTATAAAATATTTGTTTACAATCCACTACTTCATTCGCTATCTATATTACTTGATTTTGAGCTTCCCATTCCAGCTTCACAGACTTCATTAAACAATTCTGGATTAACTTGTTCCATCATTTTCCATGCAAAATTCTTAGTAATATTCATTGCATTTTCCTCGCAATAAGCAAGACTAGCCCTTCTTAAAATATCGCAACCATATTCATCTGCTAACAAGAGTCGAGTAGCTACATTTTCAGGTGTTATAGTTTCTGTTAAACTTCTTTCACAAAGTTCTTTCATTCCTGAAATGATAAAAATTAACATATTTATATTGCTTGAGGTATTTATTACAGTCAATATAAATCCAACCTTGTAATCGAAATCGCAAAGAAAGTGAAAGTAGTTCAGAAGCCAAAGTATCCAAATTATCGACATGGTCTGTATACATATAACGTAACAACTCTTCGATCACATCTTTCGATAAGTCTCGTAATTCTAATTTGTGTTTAATCTATATAAAGATAATAATTCTACTTTATACATTAATTATTTAGCAATTGAATATAATATATAAAGAGTTAGTGCTGTATTTACTCACTTTATTATTCAATAAATCGAAGTATTTTTAATAATTTCATTAATATTTTTTAAATATTTGCAAATGAAAACACATATACTTCCATACGCAGCAATCACGCACTCTCGGTACACATATTTTAAATATATTTTAACACTATTAATTACATATCATGAAGCATTAATAAATAAAATAGGCATATGTATGTATGTGTGCGTGTGTGTGTGTGTTTAACGAAGAGCAGATATTAAGATGAAAAATGATAAAATTAATTGAATAAAAACTTAACTAAGTTAGAGATAAAAAATAAATAAACATCGTGCTTGAAAATTTTATTAAAATTGCAAACTCAAAAGGCATGTTTATTTCTTATCAAATTAGTTTTTACACGAGTAGTAAGTTGTTATGTTTAATCAATGGAAGCATTGACACGTACGTCGGAAGAATTACACTCGTCTATCAACGATTTTTTTTTTAAATCATCTAAAAGTACGTCCTTTTCTTCCAATTCGTTTCCTTCGAGCGGTGTTATCATATTAGCAAGTACATCGCTTCGCGCTGCAATGACACATTTGTGTACCTGGATTTCTAAATTTTCATCTGCTACTATTAGTTTCGTATCCGCAGATTGAGGATGTTTTAATAATCTTGCCATATCCTGTAAATTTTTGTTTATCATAATTAGCAACATAAATATTTATTACTTTCAATTTGATATATTTTACATATTATTCTTCCAATTATACATATACGCCATTAACTAGTTAAAATACTATAGAATCATAATTTATATTTTAATATTTATGTGTGTGTGTGTGTGTGTGTGTGTGTGTGTGTATGGCGACGGGGGGAAGGGAGAATGTATAAAATAATAGAATCTAGTAATTTTTCTTTTAAATTCATTACACTGGGTATTTTAACTGATTTCGAATTTATATATACGACAAAGTATTTATGACTATTTTTTATTCTCATATACGATATAACTTATAAAAATAGAATATATCATGTATTGATTATCATGTAACTATATCTAAATAATTATTGCTTAAACTAATATCAGAACTTTCGATCCAGCTACTTAACACAAAATTTTGACAAAGAAAGCAAAAAATACTACCATTAGGTATAAAATAAATCAGGTTATTTTATTTTATAACAATTTTTTAGATTATAAAATAATATTTATCATACTCGTTTATATCTGTGACGCCTTATTATTAGAAATGTTTTGATACGAATCTTAGGCGATTTCCGTCTTCGAATATAAGAATATACATTTTCTAATTGCAAGAATTAATGTTCCTTCATTTAATCAACTCAAAAATAAAATCTTTTAGCATAATACCATTTCTTTTACCGACGTTTAATCAAATTTATTTTATCTTTACCTGATTTTAGCTTTACCTGTGAGAGGGTATGTTTTTCACTATCGCACTGGATGATCTGAATCTTCACCATGACGCTTAGCTCGCCATTTTTTTTTAAATGTCTATCTACGATACATAAATCTCGGTAGCCCAGGGAAATTATATCGGAACTCGAACGGAGCTCTAAAATAGTTCTGCTTACATGACAGTATTCCCAATAATTAACCTCAGCATTAAAAACTGCAAATTGAAAGCGAACTTTGGCTTGTTCAACTTCCTCAACCGTGCAATTTTGTATATTCAAACACAGCACTACTGGATTCCTAATCCTTTTTCCTGCATAAACGTGATATAACAAGTAATGTCATAATACTTAGAAAAATAAATTGTTTAATTTATTTCACATCAATTAAACTTTTAAATAAACACTTTTACATTATATTTTTATTTTCAAATACAAACTTCGTTTATTCTTTTAAATAATCAAAATTTTATTTTAACTACAGCCTGTCTTATATTTCTATTTAATGAAAGTTTTTGGCACGTTTGGAGTTTTATACACATTAGCCATACTTTTATTCAATGATAAATATGAAAATAAGCTTCACGTTTAGAAAGCCTAAGTAATATAATATGATAATAAGTAAGAAATTTCTTTTGAACTCCTATTTTCTTATTTCAAATTGTTAATATATGACAGAATAAATTTAAAATTTAAATTACCATTTTGGAATTCCTAAAATGAAAGTATTGAATAATAAATACTTTTAATTAATTTTATCGATAATTTTTACAGAATAGATTAACATTATAAATAACAAATCTTGTTTATTTATATTTAACACTAATTTACTATTAACGAAAATTTAACGTTTAACACCATTGCTTTTCTTCAAATTTATTTATATCATCAATCGCAAGTATTTATTATTAGCCAGTGATTGTGAAAAGGAAATCGATCGACAAATACCTTCAGGGCCTTTCCAAAATCTAATAGATAGATTCCAAGTGCTGTGTATGCCATTGACATTTAGATCGAAGCTCGGGCTGTCGAAATTGTGCTTTTTCGAGATTGCTTTTTTGTAATTCGCTATCGTCCAAGTATATTTGAATATGATGTCGGAAACCGTTGGTACCAGCAATTCCATGTTCTGAGCTTGTTGTTATCGCCTGGAGCATATCTGCATTTAGCAAAACAATATGTGTGTATAAATAAATGAAAGATATCGCGTTCAATGATTAAGTCATGGCGTGTGTATTATAAAGTTGCAATTTGCTTAACTCAACACCAAGTTTCGTATCGAACAGCCCAGATCTATTTGCACGCATTTACCAGTTTTAATTACGAGTAAGATACTTGGATTTATTGAAATTTTTATACTTCGAATAGAACTTTTGCATTAGAAACTTGAAATTCTTTTGAAAGTCTATTGTAAAGTTGAAAAATAGTTTTGTAGAAAGGCTTAAGACTCTTAATACTTAATTATATGTTTTATTTTGCGTTAATAGCTATTATAACCAGTTATATAAGTATTTATATCATTCGACTTTGACTTAAAGCTTCATAATATTTTATTTAATTTTATAAATTATTTGAAAGAAAATTTTAAAAATAAATTTTCTATTATTAAATTAAATTGTTTTAAGCAAGATATAAAGATTAACGATTTAAAATTAAAAATGAAATATTTAAAAGTTTGCAACGAATTATTAAAATGTTTACAACTGTTGTTTTATGCTATTATATCTTTATAATTCTTATAGTTTATCAATATTAATATCTTTTAAGTTAGAAAATTTAATGCAAACTAAAGAATATTCATCATTTATTTGATTACATTAACAATAAGATATGAATAGGAAATATTTTAATATTGTTAATATTGGTTTTTTATTTAATTTCTGTCTATCTTTACGAAAAATCAACAATTTATGCATCGAATGATTTAGCGTCGCAGAGAAAAATTTGATTATAACTAAAGTGATATTTCCGTACGTAAACTATTTATCTTTTATGGTGTTAAGAATATTTGAGAAAGTAAAAGAGTCGAATTATGAAAAATCAAGTTTTTTTAACTCTTAGTAATTAGTAACTTAGCCTAATTACAGATATAACGAGCCAATAAAGGATTTTAGTTTACTAATGGATGGCCGAAATAACGTAATATAATTGCGACGAACGATTGCAACTTTCCAGAGTATCGCGTGTCATGGAAGGAAGCTAATTATTCTGCGATCTTGATGTGCGTGCGACTGTTGCATCAATACATGAATATGTGTATTGTTTTTCCGTTCTTCATGTTATCTATTTTATTTTACCAGCTTTGAAGTTTTGAAATTTTTTTTTTTTTTTTTTTTTTTTTTTTTTTTTTTGTAAACATATTTAGATAGCAATGTTGGTGCGCAGCTTAAAGCTCGTTAAAATATTTATTTCATTTATCGTAATATATTCTCAAAATTTTTTGCAATTTCCTTTCTTTGCATTTATTATTTCATTCAGTGTACTAAAAATGCTAATTAAAGTTTATCAGGTTTTTTTTCTTTTTCTTTTTTTTTTTTAATCACCATAACACGAATTTGAATCACATAACATGAATTTTATCATATTATTTATCAAATTTGTTATATGGAACGAAGTTAAACATTTTGCATTAATTTTAACATAACTTTAGCATATACGTAAAATATTCTCGTAAATAAATAATCAATCAGTATCAATAAATTTTTTTAATCTTTAATCTTTTACATTACTAATGTGAAATACATCTTTTACAAGAGAGTTTTACAAGGTAAATTGATGCTATGTACATGCATTTTATTGATATTTTTGATATTTAAATTAAGAATAATTCGATCAAAAACATTTATTTCGATTATGTGAAATTAACAATTATATGCTGTTGTTATTATTCTTATAATATTTGAACAAAGGATTTTAACTACACAAAACGACTTTTTGTAATATAAGTGTCATTGCAAATTAACATTCATTATATTTTACATAAATATCATTAAATACATTTTGATTTAAAATTTTTTTAGAAGTTGTTTTAACCTTCAGATTACTAGATTTTCAATGAAAAAATATTCAATTTAATATTTTTATTTTTTTCTAATGAATATTGAGTCAGCAGGATATTCTACTTACATAAGTATTATTTTATAATAATATAAGATATATTTTTATCAACTTTGAAATACAGAAATAAATATAAATTTTATTATAGTAATTATTTAATATTTATTTTTCTGTTGTTATTATTATTATTTCTCATTAATTAAGAAAGGCAAATAGGTAGTTGAAAGGTATTTAATTCTTTGTTTCGAACAACTAGCGTTTCCATAGTATTTTAAAAATATTTTATATCTATAAAATACCAACACCAGTGCATCAATTATTCTCTATTTGGTTCGTTCCAAATTTGTTACCTTTACTATACACATATACACATTTTATTGTCGATGCATCTGACAAGGCCATGTAATGCTGTACACATGTGAATATGGAAGAAAGAAGACTTTTATTCCAGGGTCAATGGCCTTATTGGTTTTAATTATTACTCATATGTGCCGAATCACTTTATTAAAAGATGCGTAAATAATTCATAATTTTATAAATAGTTTCAAACAAGAGCTTTACAATATTTAAGCACTTATAATGTTATTAATGATAAATAAATATTTATTTCAACTCATCAGATAAATTATCAGAACAAATTAAGAGAGTAGTTAAAATAATGGATTTTTTTTATTATTCATTCAAACTGTATGTTGGCATAATTTAAATGTGTTTGAAGCTAAATACTTTTATTTTTTCTATTTATGATGGAACAATATTTTAACATATTTATTGCATCAAACATTGTTATTAAGATTATTCGTATACAATCTATTCTAAATTAAAATTTTATATTTTTTAACGTTACAATGATGTTTTTCAAAATCTGCTTTACTGCTAAAAATGAAAAACAATATTTATATTATATTAATTATATTATTTTTAGTATGTAAATATTATATTTCAATATTGTATCTAGAAATATTATATGCTACACGTAATTGCAATATCTTGTATTTTTAAGCAAAATTTATAAATTTTAGAAACAGTATAAGATTTTCTTTCAATCTACGAACAATATACTCAACAATACAATCATGTTTAATAGTTTAAAATATATTTGGCCTTTTAATTATCTAATCAAAATTGCAGTGATTTACTTTGTCTTAGAGAATAATATCACGCCAGCAAAGTTCCTTTGATAATTATGTAAATTCATTTAAGAAATTTATTTTATGAAACAATTTAATTATTCGCTCACTATGTTATTCTATAAATTAAGCTATGATTTGAAAGTGAGTTTTAATAAATGTTTTTCAAAGCTAGTATAATGTAGTTAATTATTGTCGAGAGAATTAATAGAGAATCAAATTTTGCTCTTCTTTCGTGGAATTGAATGTTTTTATTTTATACGTGTGCGGATAATACAACCACGTAGAAAGAAGTGGGCTATGTACGATCGAATTGCATAAACAAAGTTATTGGGTTAATTCAAGTTTAATTGATTTTGGGCGCAACTTCTCTATCCGTTTATGGATTGACACAAGGCACGAACAAATGAATATACACGTCTTTGTTCATCGTTTATTCGAACTTTCTCATTAACTACTTGTACGTGGGTTGATAAATTTTTCCCTTATAACTTAGAACATATATATATATATATATATATATATACTCATTTACTATGTTTTACGACATTTCTTTCCGATTTAATAAAACTATTCTTGTTTATTTAAATTTTTGCTCACTTGGAATTAATATCTTATTTAATTGCGGATGGTCGAAAAAATTATTTGCATTTCGAGATTATACTTATGGTATTGTCGTTACTTTTCATTTTCAATTACCTTCCAATTTGATTCAATTCATCAAATTGAATAGAATTAAAATATTTGTTTAATGATTAAAGTCTATATTACTTTGATTGCAAACCGCAATTACTTTGTTTTTATGCTCAGTTGTTTTAATACCACATAGCAGTCTTTTACTTTGGCTCTAAGTAAACGAGGGAAAAGATTCGTTTAATGAATCGTTAATAAAGTAATATTTACGTAATAATTTGAATACCTTCCCTAAATAAATTAAATTGAATAAAAGAGAAAGGAATACAGATTGTTTTACAATATTACATTCTTTACGATTTCATTTAGTCTTTACTTTCACGCTTTCTTCTTAATTCTAATAAAAAACTAAACGTAGATATAATGTTTGCGAAGAGAAAAAAAAGAAAACTAAAACTAAATATCTCGTAAATAATACTCGCCAGTACGATAGCAAATAATAGTGTAGAATAAAATTTTTAATGAATTATCAGAGATAAAAGAGTGTTTGGGATACATGAAGGAAAATCAAAGATATATCAGGCAATCACAAGGCCGAAGTAAATTAAGTTAAATACCAATTTTAACATATAGAAGAGAAAAATAAAAAAAAAAAATAACGGGGTTTTCGCATTGTTAATTTTTGCCTCTGATGTATGCGAGATAAACTGTGTGACGGGATGAAGTTTTGATTCCGTTTTTGTGCACCACATTTACCGAAAAGCGGAAATAATTCACGCAAAATCTTGTTGCAAAAAAAAGAACGTCACAATGCACTTGCGGTTTGCTGTCCAAACCACAAACTTAAGCATTTACGATTGGTTGCCATAAAAGTCTGTTTATATTCACGTAGAGTTTTTTGTAAACGAAATTACGATCGATCGGAATTCCCTAAATTCTCAGTACACATTGGAACATATTCAGATGTAACAAACGAAATTGGCTTTGAGCATAAATCAAAATGCACCGCCGATCATCATCTATAGATTCTGTGTAGAATATTAAAAAGAAAATGTACATATTATGATTTTTATGCCTATTCGCAAAATAACAAATTTTGCAGATATTTATAGTTGCTATTTTTATTGATGAATTGATCATGTAGTTACTCTAGTTACATATTTAAGATGTAGTATAGGAGGTATACATACAATCTTGAAAGTGGGTACTCAAAAATTGTTTAATAAATATAATATTAAAATGTTTTTAAGGTTTCGGCGTGACACGTCCTGTCACGTGATTACAAGTCATTTATCTGTGCGAATAAGATTGTTAAACTTTCAAATAAAAAATAAATTGCAATTCTTGTTTTATAAATTTATCACTTTACATTGTTAAGAATAAAGAGCAGCAATTGTTCACAATGAATCTAATTGAGCCCTTTGCAAAAAGTAAAAACAAATGTCGTGTGTCTGTGCGTGTGTGTGTCTGTGTGTGTGTGTGTGTGTGTGTGTGTGTATATATATATATATATATACAGTAAAAATAATCACAAAGAAGAGGCCAAGTTAAATGTTCCATTCATGTATTAATGCAAATAGAGCGAATATCTTATGTAAATATATCAGAGATTGAATTAATTACATAAACCGTATCGCTATTTAAACATTTTTATTAAAAAATAGACAAAAGTCGTGATTGGATAAAAAATTATATAAAATTTAGGCAGCGGCTATAAAAAAAAAAAATATATATATATATAACAATAGCCATCTTCGTCTTATGAAAATCGTATATACTCGACTGAGAGGCCGGCCACACATCAATCCGTTTTGCACTCGAAAATATGATATTGTTTAACGCGGCGCTTACGCTTTCAAAATCTCTCCGAGGGTCTACGGTTGTCTGCCAAGCGTCAAAAAGTGACGGCAAGTATGCTCGGAGGAAGGGCGCAATTATTGCATCGTGCACGTACGTACGGTGCTACGTAAGTCCCAGTAAGCTGTCACATGCTGTGAAATGCTGCGGATGTTAGCACTCTTCCCTCGCGATGACGGATTCGAGGTTAAGCGACGGGCGACTCGATAGGTTTTGCGCGCAACCGACGAAGCACACGCGAGCCAAGCCAAGCGATACCCGACGACGTGTACGACGTTGAGGCGGGTGGACGCGTCTCAAAAACTATACTGAAGAAAATGTTCGACGGCCGATAGCCCAATTGGTGAAGGAAAGAGAGAGAGAGAGAGAGAGAGAGAGAGAGAGAGAGAGAGAGACAAAGCGAGGGAACGATGATTGAGGGAGGAAGGAAGGGTGGGAGGGAAGCACGAGCTACTCCGGGTTTCACACGCGTCAGTAGCAGTGCTAACGTCCCTCCGTCTCTCTCTCTCTCTCTCTCTCTCTCTCTCTCTCTCTTTTGTTTCTCTCTATCATGTCATTTATAAGCTGAATAAGGCTACCACCGAAACCACGCGTCTCAAGTATCGTAAACATGCTCATAGAGTTTTCCCTAATACCAGTGTTCCGTCGAGAACAAATTTCTAGGCGTAGTTTCATCTCATATTGATTTGGCCTTGGCAAACTGGAGAACGTTTATTCTTCGTTTGCTTTTTTAATTGTTAGTGAGCGAGCAACTTAATGTAGATATTATTATGTTCTTGTATTTCATTTAATTACTTATATTGAATTATGGTAGTAGTAAGTCAACCGAGGACTTATTAATTGAGTTAATATTTCGAATTGGAAGGGAAATTTGCAAAACAATTACATTAATCATTGTTGTACTATCCCATATTATTTTGTCAATTATATTGTCAATTCAGAAGTAATATTATTTGACAACTAAATATGAATAGATATTGCGTTATGAATCGATTAAACGAATAGGCACATCCATAAAGTATAAGTGCTAATGATCATTATCTTATAAATAGAAGACGAAAGATCAAAATTTATATCTATCTATCTATATATAGCGATAGTGCAGTTGTGCTAAATAAAATAAACTTTTAAAATAATTTGGAGGTTTACGAGCAATGTTTCACTCTCATTATTATAATAGACAAAAAGCGGTCATTTATACTTAGTATGAAATTATATAAAAATTTTGGATAATCTTTAACAACAACATAATACTTAAAAATATATAGTAAATATTTATATCGTTTTTTTCTCTTCTTTCGGAATTTTGAGTTACCGCAAATACTGTAATATTGTGATATTTTTCTATTTTAATGCGAATATAGGAGAGCAACAAATTGTACGTAACTATTGTTTTGTCAAACATTAGCCAAATGTCTGCCAGAAATTTATAAACATAAATTTTCTTACACACTCATTCTCTATTTGAAAATGAAAAACTCTCAATTAACAAACTGTTCATTATAACTATATAATCTTACGTACTTTAAATTAATTAATTAATAATACAATGATAATAAATTGAAAGATCAAAGAATTTTCATTAATTAAAATTGCCAATTTTATAGATGTAAAATTTATTATACTAACGCTAGTGCGTTCAGTTCTTTAAAATTAATTTAGGATAAAAATTATTTCTTTAAATACTTTATGCGATTGCCACGTTTCTCGAAATATATTCACTAAAAATCGCAGTTTATCAAATTTTCACAAACTGTAATAACAGGAGGTAACGAGAGATCCGTAGAAAGTAGCAATCATTTTTCATTGTTGGCCATAAAGTGTGTGTGATCAGTTATGGAGATATCGTTGTACTCCTTTCCAATTTCTTTTGCAAATGTGGAAAAACGTATCGTCGTGCTGCGATATGGTAGTAGCGAGTCGCGAGACAACCAACGTGAAACGTTTCGCTCTCTTTCCTTTCAAGTGCCAGAATTTCGTGGGCAATGCGTTGCCGATCCTGTCGCACACCCGTATGCCTCGACAATCATCTAACAAAAATCTCACCGGAGGCAAACGATTGCCACCGTTCGATTTCGCGCCATTCGGTTAAGTGAACGTCGCGAAGTAGCTTTTGGCAGCTCCGGCCGATAGTTAAGCTTCCCTGTTGAGTCCCCACCCGAATATTTATCGACATCGTTCACCCTCTTGTTACTCGCTGCCGAAATATCCATGCTCACTTGCCAAAATGCTCTTCCCTTGAAAAACAGAAATAACGATACAATGCATACGCTGGCGTTTCGCTGGCTGTCACTTTCATCATAATGGTAGCGATAAATCGTCCAGTTTACTTTATGAACTGAGTAATCTGCGACGCTAGTATTCAGTGTAATTGGAAATTGTCCGAGTGTGCGTGACTGCAGCAATACCAACATATTTGAGATGTAATAATTGAATCGTTCTTGTTTCTTTATTTGATAACTTTTTATGAAAGACGATTTATTCTGTACACTTCATTGTTAAAATTTAATATTACAAATTAATTAAATTCATGGATACTTTTAGTTTTTAAGGCAATAGATTTCTTTACTAAAAAAAAAAAAAAAAAAAAAAAAAAATAAAAAAAATAATCTAGCATCGCTATATTATATTAATGTTAATAAATATTTTGCAATATTAGTTAAAAAAAAAATCCATTTTTTATTCATTAACATAAAGATAAACAATGAAATAAGATAATAAAAATGATGGCCTATTAAGAATAACTATTATTTAATTTGGTTATTAATGTTCAAAGAAACTATTACAATACTCAAAGAAATTGTGCGGATGTAAATATCATTTTATCCGTCACCTCGATTCTATGAAATCATACGTTTTCTATAATTATCCAAAACATTCTATTTCTGAATGAAATTTTTGAAATATTTTTATCAATTGAGAAGTCCAACAGACATGACATTTTAACGCGATATAATTAATAAATATGTTTTTAGAGCTTATTATTTCTTTTATTACTGGGTATCATTAATATGCGTTGAAAATAAAGTATTCATAGTAAAAATGTAATTTGAAAATTTAAACGAAGAAAGAAAGAATTCCTTGAAAATCATTGAATGCAATAATAACATTTGCGTCTTCATTAGCATTAAAATAAACTGAATTTACAATGTCGTTGTTTTCGACATTCTATCCAGAAAATATAGAAAATATAGAAAATATCAGAATGCATTTTAAATACATCAGCTGATAAAATTGTGGTTCAACCGACGAGTGACATATTGCACGTATAAATATTAATGTTCTTCTATTATAATAAAAGCAATATGATTATATACAGAACCAATCGGTAGGTTCAAACGTATAATAATAAACTTAACATATCATTGTGTAGTTATATATATATATATATATATATATATATATATATTTTTTTTTTACATAATACGTTTATGACTACAGATTATCATTATAAAGTCATTATATTGATCAATATCTTAGCCCGCAGTGCGCTGACCAATTATTCTCGAGCCTTAATCATTTCGAACTAAACAGCGTGAGAGCGCAAGTAATCATAAGCAATAAAAATATATTTAACTAAACGATAGCGAGGAGTGCAGCAAACTTGCCGCTGTCTCACTTCAACGGTGCGATCAAATTTTTTCTTTACATTGTCCACAGAGTCGAGAAATGTTGGAGGAAGAAGGATGGACGATATCCACCTTCCTTCTCAGACATTACACATCTGCGTCATAAACATCAAGAACTACAGAACAAAACAAAAAAAGGACCGTGGAATTTGCCTTAAGGTTTATTAGGCGCGAGAGCTCGCCGATTGCTGTGAACCTGATCCGAACCTCACGAGCTATGTACACTGCTCACATTTTTTTTTTTTTTTTTTTTTTTGTCAATATTAAATCGGGCTTGACGATTAATTTTTTGGACTTTACTAAAACAATATCCGCTCATAAATATTCTGCCGTATTAAGTTTTATGATGATTTACGAATAAATGCGATGCATTTGTTTGTTTTTGTTTGTTTTTTTTTTTTGCATCGACCTCACATTTTGAACATTTCTATTTTTATAATTAATAAATCATATTTAAATATAGTTTTTATTATAATAGTAAAAAGTGAATATTTTGCATTTGATCTTTTGGCTTATTATAATAAGCATTGAGATTAGCGATGTTCAAATTTTAATTATAAACCAATTGTCACGACCTATTTTTACTGATTGCGTCAAAAGTAAAAATAAAGCAAATTTCAATATTAATTTTGATTGCGGTTAAATATTCTGCTTTTCTCTTTTACTCTTCCATTTATATGTATATTAATTAAAGTTTTGAAATATAAATGTTAAGATAGGGGGTAAAGTGCAAAATATGTTGTTATAGTGCAAGTAACAATGAATCAGATCGAAAGCCGATTTTTAATCGCATAAATTAGCCTTCGATATACATATCTAACACTGTTAAAAATAGAAGGTTCGCGAGTAATTTCCATTTTAAATGTCTTCGAGGGCCTTTTACACATTATCACGTTATAATAGCAATCAATTCTTTATAATAGTTTCTTTACGAAGGCAAATTTTGCCATTAATGTAGCCTCACCTACTGATACTGCAATTGACAAAAAATTAAAAAAAAAAAAACATAGAATATAATTATAAAACTATGATCGATTATTGAATTTTTGAATTGAATTCAATTTGAATTGAATTGAGTAGTTTTATCGGAGAAGTTCAAGTCAAGTGTAATTATATATACATTATATACATACTAAAATTTTTAAAATATTTAAAAATACATAAATAAGTGATTATATAATTATACAATTTATTTCCGTTGTATTTTAATGAATATTTTATAAGAAATTATGCTCATTAGTTATTATCATTATTTATAATAAGCAACATTGTATTGTATAATAAGAGTGAAAGAATGTATGAGCGAAAGATATTAGCGAAATTATTTTTTGATCTAATAACATTATGACGCATGAGCACGTAGTTGGTTTACAACTTATGTTTGATACGTTGTATTTTTAAAGTACAATGAAATCTATGCCATACGCATTAGTGTCATTAATAGATGCAATGTGTGTGTGTGTGTGTGCGCGCGCGCGCGCGCGCTTGCGGGCTTGTGCGTGCTTACGTGGACACGTATCAATTTATGTGCGTTTATCGACGCACGTGTATCGATCAATTATTATATTTTTATTTCTGAACAATTTGCAAATATATTGTAAAAATTTTTATCTCTACACCGAGTGCATCGAGAATTGATTATTGACGCATGAGAGCAGATT